AGATTTGATCAGCAGACTGGTCAGTGGGGAAAAGTAAGTCCTGAAGCATACTGGAGGCATCGGTACTAGTAGCACGCATTTATTCATAAATTTAAACGTGCCCCATTTTGTCCTACTTAGCAACACTGAAAGCTTTTGGCACATAGACTATTTCAGTTAGGAGTCTCACAGTTGTGGGCAACACAGTGCATCTTTGTTCGACTACCAAGCAACATTCTAAATATGATAAAATGTATGCTTTTCAGACTTCTATATCCATATTCTGTTTCCTAGGGGAATTCTAGGGCTGCTGCCATATAGAATATTAACAAGACCAGTAGTTTTGAATCCAGGCTCGTAGTTTCAATTTTGTTTATTTTTTTCAGCATCCTTATTCCTGGTTGTTTTCCCATTGACAAAACATTGATGCAGCACACCACTTTCAGAAATTGGTAGCACTAGACTATAAAGTTATATTAAAAAGTCACCTACAGTGTTACTTAATTTTATTTGATGATGCAAAACATTGTATTAATTTTCTTACAGTCCCTGCAGGCCCATTTTGGAAAGTCATTTTCTGTGGGATAATGTTTGCTCCTTAGTAAAGATGTCACTGAAAGAATGATGAGTGTATGCAAGATGAATACATGCTTTTTAAGTGGGACTGATTATGTTATTGCTGGTTTTGGCAAAAATAACAACAATAAGAAGCAATGAACAGTCCTTTATGTGTACACAGGAAAATCCAAACTTTACTGCCTTTTCCTACAAAGGCAATGTTTACTGACAAATTCCACAGCTTTCTTTAATTATAAACTATATTAATTATAAATAAACATAATATTCTGAGCAAATATTGCATGAATCAGTGACTGGTGTTATGTCTAAACATTTTAATCTATTGAAAACAGTGTAGATTCATATTTGTATAATGAAATTTTCCCCAGAACATGGCTACTTCCTCAAGCACTTGCTAACTCTACATATGAATTCCAGCTGTGCGTGGAGTTCCTGCTTTTTTGGAAATATTGTTCTTATACAGTTTAATAATCCATATTTTCCCACTCATTACAACAGTTATTTCTGTTCTAAAATTTCTCCTGTTCCTTTGGATGTATGCCTCTCCCTTGTATGACAGCAGAGATGATGAGTTTATGTTTGAAGTTCTCTTTGTCAGTGGCTGCACTCCCCCTCAAATCAGGTTACAGGGTAAACTCTCAAGAGTGGGGAGATAGTTTAAAAGAGTAATTGGTCTGAGTTGGTATAATTTTGCAGCAGGTCTGAGAGATGCCAAGTGTTCACTGTATTCTGCTGACAACCCCTGGTGCCATTACCAAGCAAGGTGAGAGTTAAGAACAAGGTGTTTTTTCTGGTCGTATCAGTGAGAATCACTATAGAAAGGTAGCAGGTTGTTCACCTGATGTTCTGACCATCTCCATTCTGACAGCAATGGATGTGTCCTGAAGCTCCTGGTCAGCAGGGACAACTAAATTTTTATGGTTCTTGTGAGAAACGTTAGCAAATGACATGAGATTTTTATCAGAGGAAATTCTTGCAGAGAGGTCAGCCTACTGACGTCTGGGGACAGCTGTAAGCCAGCACTGAACTAAATTTCATTTGAAAAGTGAACACTGTGAAGTTTGAGAAATTTGTCTGCCTTTGCTTCATGTGTAGTTTTCAAAGACTCAATGTGCTTCCAGCTGTCTCTTCCACAACTTATTAAACATTCCAAAGCTTGGACCAAGGCAGGGTAATTAGACAAGTAAGCCTTGAATTTTAGAAAACGAAATCAATTTGGTTTCAATTTCTCAGACAGTACCCTTTGATTTTAATATTAAATAATTCTGATAACAAAGGAATTTCCCTGGCATACGTTTATCTCTGGCAGATTTTCACATATCACGTGTGTCTGTAACAGATATGTTTATTCAACAAATACAATGGAGGCTGTATTTTTTGGGACAATTAGTCACCTGCTAAGAAGACTTTTGCCTAATTATGAGAAGAAGGTAGGCTTGAAAGGTTTTGGATTCCAGAAAAAACAAGCTAAAAAGCCCTTGATCTTTCCAGATGTTTCCTCTGGGGACATGCCCTTCTGTTTGGGATCTCAGTGCAGTGATGTCATCAAATTGTCTCTTTCAGTGATCATGCCATTGCCAAACTATTAAAAGTTTCCTTTTTGTCAGGAGCCGAAAGGCTGGAATCTACACTGTGGAGTTCTCTTTTGTAGTCAGGACAAGTGTTTGCTCTTATAAAGTTATTAATGAATGTTTCCTCAGTTGAAATACTAGCAACGTATCATTTCCTCAGTGGGGTATTCTTTTTCGGTGGATCTGACGCCTACTCTCAGATACTGATACCACTTCCCGGGTATCATATTGTATGTCTGGCACAAAGTCTCTATGTTTCTCTTTATTCCCCTCCTCTCAAGTAAAATGCATGCAATCCATTCAAACTATTGAGGGAGTTATAAGGCTGAAAGCTTCTGTAGACTATGTCTCTCTGCAAATACGTTAACATGGTTGCAGTGTTGGTTAGGATGATGTTATGAATACGGAAAGAAGGGATACTTTATCAGACAGTAAGCTGGCAGAGAGGAAGAAAATGCAGTTCAGCCATTCTAGTGTGAGTTCATCTAGCTGTGCTTTTGAGAACAGTGAGGATGAAAAGCAGCCATAGTTGGTAGGAAGCAGGATGGGCTCATTCATTTTACTCTTCAGAGGAAGCTGAGATTTTAAGCCCACCTGGGTGATTCATTGCACTGCACAGATATATTTTTTGTCTTGTTTTCAGTAATGACAGCGATACTCAGTGATGAGACTATATTGATTTTTGAATATTTTTTCAAAGGAGCCTAAATTAAAATCGTGATTTATGGGTACTGAGATGAGCTCTGCATTTTTATTTTTATTTCCTGAGGGAATTATTGTTTACTGTAAACCTGTAGTGGATGAAACAATGTATTTTAACATGTAAGGTTCAACCTCCTGCACAGAGATCAAGAGAGAAGAGATAATTTAAGTCTAAGCCCTCTGAGCCTGATACTTCCTTGCATGCCTTAATATGTGGCAAATAATGTTGGAGGATTGCTGTTACTTTACGAAGGTTCTCCATTTCTTGAAGCTAGAATGAGTACATGAATGAGCTAGAATGAATAGATGAGGTGAATAGAAATTTTGCTAATGAGAATAGTTATCTACCCACACATTCTTCCACCAGTGCCATGAATGCTACCGGAAGACCTGCCTTTGTTAGACTTGTTTCTGCAAGCCAATGTTGAGTGATTGAAATGCAGGTAGGCTTATGGAACAGTTGGAATATAATTGTTTTACACTCCTACGTGTACTTTGTCAGCATTCCGAGGCATTCATACTTTCCATTCCAACAGTGAGGTGCTCCAGAACATATTCTTGCCCCAGGGGTACTTTGCACAGCATAGTTATTCAGCAGACAAATCTTCCTTGCTTTAAGTAAAACTGAGAAGCTTTTTTAAATAGCTTGCTGATGCCAAATCCTGACTGCCTTGTTTGATATGAATCCCCTAAAGATTTCTTTCTTTACTGAATAACACCATAAAAATGTGTGGAAGGTGTAGTTCCAGTACTGTTTGGAAGGTTTCTGTAGGTCATTCTGTAAGCATGAATATAGGACAGAAGAAACTCTTCATATTGATCAGATGCTACTTAACCATTTCAATTCTTCTCAAATATGCTGGCAGCATTTCTTTTAGAAGTGCCTTCTTGAATAGAATATAAAAGGTATGTGGCAAGTAGAGTGCTGATGGTGCAGTAATGGGGTACAGTGAAATTCAGCGTGGGAGGAGCAGGGGCTCATCACAGCTACTGTGTGTGGTAAAGCCACAGAAACCTGACGAACTGCAACAACGTTTCTCTGAAAAAAGGTTTAATGGTGAAATAACTACTGGAATAGTAACGTGAGCCAGAGTTGGGCAAGGCTCTGAGCAGTGTGATCTGACTCCAAAGCTATCCCTCCCCTGAGCAGGATTTGGAGCAGAGGGCCTCTAGGAACCACTGCCTACTTCAGGGTTTCTATGATTTGAATGCATCTTAGCTGTAATCTTTCACTGGTTAACTTCTTTAATGATTTCATGGGATGTAACGTATGCAAATGGAAGTATTTCATTCTCATAGTAGTAGGAAGCTACAGAAGGGTTATCTGTATGGAAGGAAAATTGGCTTTAATATACTTAACTGTAGGGACTGAAGCACTTTTATAGGTAGGTGAGAGAGAACCTGATCGGTCCATTAAAACCAATTTTCTAAACAGAATTTTCTAAACAGAAGTTACTTTCTCATTCAAGAAAGGTGCTTGGCTCTATTTCTTCACTTAGTATCCAGACAGAATTCTTGGATTCTTTGAATTCAAAACATACAATTTTACTTTTACTTGCCAAGAATAAGCAGGATAAAATAAGCTTTTCTGTTTTCCTGGAAATGACAGAGTGTCCTCTGATTGTTAAATTCACTTCTAGAACACAATTTAGAAACGTTTTTCAGCATTGACCTAACAATTTTAATGTGCTTTTGATGTAGCTTTCCATTCTATCCTTTTGAATATTTGTTATCTGACATTTAGCTGTGAAATCTGTTAGCTTCCAATAGATTCTGCATTGCTGCAGTAACTGAGTCCTAGTTGAATTCTGTAATTATTTTTTCCTGCTATTTCCTTGTATACTGACTTCAGTGACTTCATCTGCAAAACTGTTCATAGTTGAGCTGAATACATGCTTGTATCCTCTGCTCAGATCCTCTTTTATATTTTTTTCCATGACCGTGAGAAGGACAGTAGGAAAGAAAAACTGAAGACTTTTCAGATTAATTTCAAGTCATAATAAGCTATGAAACTATTTCTAAGCACAACAGCCTATTTTCCTTCTAAGACTTTGTGAAATTGGCCTTCTGAGCATGGAGGAAAGAGCTTGTTTCAGAGGTTTTGATTTTACCAATGCTTTTGATGCTGTTCAGATTAGTAAATCAGGGAAACAATGTATGCTAACCTACTACAGGATGCATAAAGGATGTGATTTTTAATTGAATTGAGCACAAAGAACAGTCAGTCGCGTGCTGTTGGAGAGTCAATGGTTAAGTGGCAGAACAAGGATTGAATTTGTGAAAACATAAAAATGCATCAACAGCACTGCTGCTATTCAAGTGACAAATCCTTATTCATACAAACAAAAAGCATAGCTTGAAGAGTGCATGAAAGCTTTTCACTTTTCAGTACTATTTAGTTGGTGCAGCATAGCTTTAATAAGTATGTGGGCTGTTTCAACATAATTCAGAGAAGAGGCAAGCAATGAAAGAGCTTCTGGTATATGTGACCTATGAGAAAAGATGGGAAATAAATGACATTTTGGAGCTACTTAATCAAAAAGGATGACTAAGGGAGGCATACTGGTATTCAGTGCTTAAAGGGCTGCTTCAAAGAAGGAAACCACATCTCCCCCCTTCCTTTATCTACTGTAAGTAGGATAGAGAAAGTAAGTCTTGAGTAAAATAAGGAAGATTTGACCACATTAGGAAAACATGTGAGGTTAAAAATCATGAAAGTTTTAAAGATAATTCTCAGGAGGTTTATCAGTCATCCTCATCAACAGAAATAGCAGTCTAAAGAGACAGGCATTAATATCTGCATGGATTCACTGTTTATTCCTCAAAGAGGAAGTGTTTAGATATCATTTTGGCTCTCCTCTTGCTTAATTCTGTACAGTTCTGGGAAGAAAACCAGGCTGGTTTAGTGGGTGATGGTACAGATCTGCTGTATATTGTGTGGAGCATCTTTCTGCCCCATTAGCAGCTGTCAACCTCCTCTGTTACCCTGTGTTTGCATTTAGCCCCCTTCAGAGCTTTCAGTTCAGTTCCTGGCTATCTGTGCATTCTGTGACTTTAGGCAAGTAGATGCATGTGAACTATGAACAGAATTACTAATAAACTAGAAAAGTTAGTAGTTGGATTTCTGATGAGGGAAGCTATGGTGATTTAGTCAAACAGATCTCATACCAAGTGGAAAGATTGAAGCAGCATTCCCTTGTGAATTTAAGTTACCCACTGTACAGGCTGGATCTTCCAGATGGTTTCTTGTGCTATTTCTCTTCATTTGTAATGAAGAGAATGTCATGAATGTCATTTTTACTCAATTGCTAGAAATGAGCCACTGGCTAATGTTGCAGACTATAACTCTCTTCCTTCTGTTACATAAGGTAGATTTGATTATAAGTATGAACAGGAACATAGGTGGATAACAACTTTGAAAATGTCGGGTAATTCCCAGTTCTCCTTTGTGAGTGTTCTTGAAGCTTCATTTTATTAACAATGTAGTAAACAACTGGGAATCTTTTAGCTGATTTTCACTTTTTTTTTTTTCCAAAAACATCTGTCAGTTCCCAGCAGTGTCAAGTGCAGTCTGTCTAATCTTCGTAGTTAAATACTGTAAACTGACTCTGCTGAGAGCTGGAAATATCTTCAGATCTTTGTTTTGTTTTTGAGAGCCTTCTTAGGAGTTGTACATTCTGATATCGAAAAGGACTGTGTAGATGACCATTTACTGTCATAGTTGTGTGCACTGAGGCCAAACTTCAACTGCTGTTCTCCACAGACCACACACCGAAAGCAATTGTATTTCAGCAGGGATATATATACTTAGTTTAAGCACATATCACTGCAAATGCATACTACATACTATTAACTAAGAACATCAAGAGCTTGGCCAGAAAAGACATCCAAGATCCCATATACTTTGCACACATACAAGGAACACAAGATCTCCTGCCAAACTACGCAATGCTACAAAATAGACTGCTTTGCTTGTAGTGTAAACCTTAAAAGTAAAAATCCTGAGCCAGTCCCTCATGAAAGGCATCACACAGTGTCTGCTCCAAATACTTAAAAGTCTATTGTTCCTTAAGGCTAGGAGGATAAAACAGGATAGTAAAAACAAAACAAAACAGGACAGTTGATTAAATCCCAGAATAGATAAATGAAAGAAATAAATTAACATTAGGGATTGAAAATGAGCTTGTTTGCAGTGCTAAAAATATTCTGATGTTAATTTCTTTCAGACAGTCTTTTGCCCCTGCATGTCAGAGGCCTAAGAAACCAGCAGCGGGTGGCCTCTGAGTTTATAACAAACATACTACTTTTCTAATTAAAAATGTCCTACATTTGAACCGTTCACAAGTAACTCAGAACTGTTGTCTTAAAATAGAATGTCAAAATTTCCTGAAGCTCTCTTGACATTGAGTAGTCTTGGTCCTTTCTGACTCATAAGGGCAAAGGCTCCCGGTCCCTGGTCCCCAGCTTGTCTCAGCTAGAAGGAAGAAGCCACTTGATTTGAATACTGAGGAGTTAAGAGCTAGACCAGATGGCAAGGGAAAAAGACACAGGAGTGACATGAAGCAGCTTCAAGTCTGTGGTTGGCGGGAAGAAGAGAAAATATGCACTCATTTTTATTATTTTAACCCTCATGTATCTGAAAAATGTCTCAGTGTGTCCTCAGACTGGGGGTGTTTCCCACTTGTCTGTGAAAAATAAGCAGTGGAGATGATTTGCAAAATACACGCAGAATGTGGTAAAGCATATTTTAAAAATTCTGGGGGAACAGTCATCTCAAACTAATGATTGTCCTGAATTGGCCACTCACTTCCAGTACTGCTTAAGGGCAATAGACTTAAATCTCATTTAAAAATAAGCATCTGAATAAGTTCAGTGCTGTTTTGGGGTGAGTAAATCTTAAGGTTCATCCAAGAGCAAGACCTCCCTCACCAGTGCATTTAGGGATGCAATGGGCTGAGATGCTTCCTTCTCAGAACAAGAACTCGCTTTCTCTAGTTCATCCTGCTAGTCTGTCCAAAGGGAAAGAGGTGTACCCATGTTAAACAGGCAGGTGGGTAACTGGTGGCCTGGGTATCTGGACCTGGGGTATCACTGGTGTGCAGTTCTGCACTGGGTCAGCAAAAGTCACAGGGCCCTTCCCATTGCTACTGGCCCACATGGGCTGGACAAACATAATTGTTTAACTTTGAAGTTCTTGACTTAACAATGCCAGTACTTCTTTAATTCCTTTTCTTCACATCGTGTTGTTAGCTTTTGTTTTTCAAATAAGAGCAATTACGCTGTCTTTCTGTTCTCAGTCTTTTTCTTCCTATTCTCCTCTGTGAGGTGGTTTTATAGCCTTACTCTCTCAACAAGTTTAGTCTGTCTCCAAAAGCATAAGATACAGAGGAACTTAGACACCTAAATCTTTGCCTTGTGCAATGAAAGAGACTATGGCAAATGATGATGGGTGAAGTGCTGTGCTAATACCCCACTACATCATTGAGATATACCAATCTGCTAATTAAATAAAATACCATGATTTCAGTCATCCATCTGCTTTGTTGTGTGTTACAGGATCAAAACACTAAAAGTTCTTTACAAGCACTTCTGCTTGACCAAGAGAAGACATCAGGAGGAAAACCCTGTTGTGAGTTCTGAGAGGTGTGTGTGAAGGGCAGAAGTGTCTCGTACAACAAAGAATGTTTTAGTGCCTGTGGTAGTGTTCCTGGCAAACTCACAGACCCAGGCAACATCTTTAGGAATTCTTGCCTGTTAATGATTGAATTAGTAAGATCTGATCTCCAAGTCACTCCCCAGGAAGAGAAGTAGAACATGGACACTCACTAAATGGTTGTTTTTCTTGCCTAAGCTGAAAAAGGAGAGCTAAAAGATGTGGATCTGCACAGAAAATAGAAGTCCAGAGAACAATGAGGCCAGGCTCTGATGAACAGCTGTAACAAATGTGCACAATGAATATGCCAGCTGAAAAATTTTGGGATGGTGTAAGGTGTGGTTATAGGCAGATCTATTTTCCCTTGGCCTGTTTATTAAGATAATATGATAACGGTAGTTTTGTGCTGGCTTGAATTATAGATGTGTTTTGTCATAGATTGTCTGGTGTATAGTCTGTTCCCTTATGGGGATTTTGGGTCAGTTCTCTTGGTGGTTCAGCTTCTGTTTCTCAGATCAATTACTGTCTCAGGAAAAAGCTTTTGTAAGCAATGTTAGAACCAGTAATTATTCTCATTTTGTCATTGTGAAAGTAGTGTTCATCTTTACCCTCCTCCCAAAAACTATTGGTGAATGCTGCCACAAAGCCACAGTGTAGATCTTTGTCATTGCTAAGCTTCTGACAGCCTCTGTAGAAAAAAAAATGTGTGGCTTACCACTGACTGTATTTGGTGTTAGGCTGCATGGGGTATTCAGGTATTGCAGAGATACCATGCTGGATTAAATTCCAGATGGAGTCTTGCTGATACTCAGACACAAAATAAGTCCTGCAGCCTGCTGATGGTACCCAAGATCATGGAACCTGTTGTGCAGAACATGGGCTGGAGTGGTTGGGTCCATGAAGCAGAGATAAGTAAAGGTATTGGAGAGGTGAGGATGACTGCTTCAGGGATCTTGTTATGGTGATAGATCTCATATAGCCTTTAATATTTTCTCACCTCATGCTGCTCCCTTTTGATGTATGTTTGCAAGAGCTCAGGGCACTTGTCACAGGACCCTGATTCATGATAGCCACGGAATGATTCATCCTCATGGTCTGAGAAGGTGGCTTCCAGACTGTTCTCTGTAGCTGTAGATCATCCACCAGTAGTCACCAAGCTTTGGCTTTATTCCTGAAGTGAGAAAATAAAACCTGTTATCTTCTCCCAATCAGCTCTAAGTTTTATCGATTCACTCAAAGAGCTGTGGTTATCTGCTTGGACACCTTTTGTAGTAGCTAGTACTTAATGAATGGTCTTGAGCAGTGCTGGTCCTGCATGGAGTATGTGTGGGGAAAAATGAATGCTGCTTTTCTGGAACATGTATGAGTTTGGTAAAGCTTTAGTGATCCTGGATCTCTTGTGTGAGCAAGATGGATCAAGCAGGGGAATGAGGTGCAATGGAGAAAGAAGATTCCACGAGGATCTTTTTCACAGGCTAGCATCATACAGCCCTCATAAATGTTAGGATTTGTACAAGCCACAGATAGGGATCCAGGTTACGTGAACAGAGAAAGGTATCTTCAGAGGGTCAGTGAAGCCTGCTGTTCAGACAGGGAGTTTTCTTGGGGCACTGTGGCACTACTGTAGAGGCTATGCAGGCATAGAGGCCAAGTAGCGCAGGGAGAGGGCAGCAGCATGCTGTTGGTGTGGGCCATCTCTAGCTGTGAGGCCAGAAAACAGTGAGAAACATACAGAGGTGTAAAGAACAGCATTTTAAGTAGTCGCAAAAACATCTTAGTGTCATTCAGTTATTTTTGGAATTACCAGCAAAACGAGATTATTCTGACTTCCAAAAGCCCTGTCTTTCACTTGAGGATTTTCCTTTTCCTCCACACCTCACAGTCACCTCACACAAATCCTTCATCCTCAGGAAAAGGGCAGGAAAGCACAGGATTATCCTGTGAAGTCCTCGGAGTCTCTTCAGGACCAGCAGCAAGACGCTTCCTCTTGGAGCAGCCATCTCTGGCTTCACATGGTGTCCTGCACCCTGCGTCACCATTTGCTTGACACAGCATCTCTTGCTGAGGCCCTGCTACCCAGAGGCATCTCACCAAGGCACGAACAAGTCTGCCAGCTCTGCCTGGTTCTTGAGCAGGGCTTGTGGTATGGGACCAGATCCAGCAGGAAGTTAAGGCTTGGTTTGGCACGGGGAGGGGTTCTGAGTGAGCACCAATGTGCTGTGATATTGATTGTGAAACCAAGAGCTGGGGGGGACTTATGGGAGTAACTCAAAGTCACAATCCAGGGAGACATTTGAGGTCAAGATCTAGGTGTAAATAACTGAAAATGAAGGAGGGAAGAGAAATGTAAAAAACAGAGCACACAGCTGTGTTTAAAGAAGAACAGAGAACTTGAGAAAAGAATAGGTAGCTCAGGGACCTGAGGGCAATGTTGATTGCATGGGTGGCACCTGCGCCATAAATCTTAGCACGGCTGCAGACCAGCAGATGTTTTGAAGCTGCTGGGATACTGCTGTCTGATTCGCCTGTGACATGCCCAACCTGGCTACACAAAGGCCCACAGCTGAGTGGTGTCACTCTGACAGCTCAGTTCCACCATACTGCTTTCTCATTCCCATTCCTAAAAAGAACTGGCATTGAAAATATGATGAAAAAGGCTCACGAGTTGAGGTAAGGATAGGGATGTCGCTCACCAATTACTGTCATGGGCAAAACAGACTTAATGTAGAGAGATGAACATAATTTATTGAGTATTGCTTACAAACTAGAGTAGCGAGAGCTAAAAGAAAACTGCAAATGCTGTCACCCCATCCAACCCTGTCCTATCTCCTCTCTCTGAGTGGTGCGGCAGAATGGAGGCTGCAGTCAGTCTATAATGCTTTGACTTTGCTGCGGTGCTATGCCTTGGTGTGGTCTGCCATGGTGGCCTGGTGCAGCGTGCAAGGAGAAGGAGTCTGTGACTGGCAGCCTCAGCAGGGCTACTTGAGGCAGGGTTGCCACCAGAGATTTGTATTAAATTACAGTATGAATTTTACTACAGATGCTGGAAAAACCATAGGGTAGTGGTAGATAATCATACTGCTTCTGGTTTTGCTGAATCATTATAGTGCCTGTTCTCCTTCACATTGACTTCCTTTGAAGTACAGAGAGCTGAATGTAAGTTTGATTAGTTACTGAATGCCAGGACAGAAAAGGCAGAGGATGATGGGAGCTTGACAAATGGAAATAAGTTTTCTGTAGAGAATAATTCAAGCTTTCTTGTACAGTGTGTGACTTTTCCCTAATGCTGTAATGCTTAAATCATTGCATTTTGAACAGCCATCTGTTCAAGAAGCTTTCACTGCCTTGACAAATTATATACAAATTATGTAGAGATCCCCAGAAATCTGTGTTTATAGAAGCTGGTTCCTCATTAAACAATTCCAGCACTAACTTTACTTTTTAACAAATTACTGCTGTTATATTTTGGTAATCTCTGTCTAAACAGAATAATGTCAGTGACTAATACAGTCATCTGTTATACAGCATCAACAATTTCCCAGCAACTTCCCACTCACCCTTTGGCCGGTTTCAAGCAAATCTGATGGTGGCCTGACATTCTTAAAAGACAGCAAGTTTCCCCAGGTGTGAAAACACAGTGGGGTTATCAGCTTATTTGGACTTCCTGTAATGATATCATACCCACTTTCCCCAGACAAATAACCAAAGGACTGAGCACTTCCGAAGGCACAGCTGCCAGCATTGTGCAAGCAGAAGAGTTAATCGGATGCCAGTCTCCTGTGGTGGTAGATTATGTCTGGACTCCCTGATGTCAAATTTAAGTGAACTTGCACCATAACTCTTTCTTCGTTATAAAATCTCCCTTCTTATTGTCTGGTTTTATGCCATTTGGAGAATGTGCTTTGGCTGGAATCCTACTGTCAGATCTTTGAGTTGTTCAGTGGGAATGAATTGATTTGGAGAAGCAATAATGTCAAAGACAGACGGAGTGCTATACAGGAGGCAGAGCAATCAAATAAGTCTGCATTAATTGCTACTGGATTGCAGTTTTATTGCCTTGCAGTGGAGCAGAGGAAGTAGAGGATGGAGAGGAGCAGAGGAAGTGATGCAGGGGAATTCTTTAGTGCTCTGAATGCCTGCTTTGAACAACTTTCGCACCAAAATATATATCAGTGTTTGTGAGCTGGTTAACTATAGCAAGGGCTAAGTAGTTCTTGCTGTAAACCTGTGTGGATCACAGTTGTGGGCTGCAGGAGAGACTGTTCCAGCTATGCAGGCAGTACTGTGCATTCTGCCTTGCTGTTTCTGGGGAGCTGAGGAGCTCTCATCTGCAGGAGAGCAGGGGCCTTAAAACTTTGGTGTTGTGGAGAGGTAGGGATGTCAGTGTTGGAGGAGTCTGCTGGCATGCCTGTATATCTCTTTCCAGGATTGAAGAGGCCAAAGGTCACTCCACAGAATTTCTTCATCCCACAGAATCCATTTCTTCACGAGGAATGTAAGCATGGTCATTCTGAAAGCCTATTTTCTTGTCTCATGATGTTTTCCTTTGACTTTAAGGAGCCTATTTCTGGTATTTTGCTGGATTTTATTTGCATGGAGTAGAATAATTTAAATTTCATTCTTTTACATAACTAGCCTACCCCTTGGGACAACTCTGAATCTACAGAGGTCTGCGGACTTCTATTCATTACTGGTTTCAATCTTCTGTTTCTTATTGTGTGTGTGTGTGTGTGATAGATTAATATAAACTAACCACTGATCAAATGTTTTCTGATGGCAATAACTGAAAAGGCAATGGAATGTGCAGAAATTGTTCCACAACTTTCTTATTAGCTTTTCTTAGTATCTTCTTGCTTCTCTGCCACAGAATCTATAGCTGCCTCTCTTACAGATGCGTGTTTATGCCCACAGCAGATCCATAGAGATCTCTGTTCAGGAATAGAATGGAAAGCATCTGCCAAGACCACAGGCATGATCTCTTTGGAAAGTGAGTAGAGGAACAGAGACTGAGGAGAAGTTTCACCGTTTGGTGTCTTTACAGTATTTCATGCTCAATTAATTTTCTGTTGGCAAATAGGCAGGTGTACTATGCTTACATAACGTTATTGACATTATTGCCAGCTAAGTTCTAAGGGCATCTGGAAAGAAAAGTGCTTGTAACTCTTTAAAATTTGAATGGTACGTCCAGATCAGCTTGCTGAGACAGAATTTTGAAAAAAAAGTATTCAAGTTAAAAATCAAATTGCTTGCCAACTGCTGGTTACCTGTGCTAATACTTGCAGGCTCTTTAAGGATCCTGGCTGCACAATAACTTCAGGGAGGTCTGAAGGTGAAGTTTCTGGGCTGTGATTCTCAGGTATGTAGTAGCGAAGGCTTTGTGACTACCATTTATGTTCTGGGAGTTGGAAGAAACTGGGGTGTAATTGCATGGAATTGGGAGTTTATGTAAGTCATGACTGGTTCATGGTTCAGAACAAAACCCAGGCATTTTACTGCTTTGTTTGCTGTGCAAATGTACTTCCCTACCCTATGGTTGCGCTCCAAGGTGCCAGCACTGGTAGAATCCTCACCCATGCAAAGCAGGGAATTTTTTGCCTTTTGGCAGGATAAGGGAGATTTCTCTTCCATAGGCCTTTGAGTATATTGTGTAAATCAATAAGATGTCAAGTTTTCTGTTAAAACATTGATTCTAAATAGGTTTTATTTTTGCTTATGTTTCGTTTGAGTGGTTAAGATTTCCGGAGAACCTACTGGAAGAACTCCCACTGAATTCAGTGTGTACAAGATCAGACTTGCTGGGCTGTTTGTTCCAGGGCATAGAATACTTCTGCTTCTTCTGAGATTTGCTGGTAAGGTGAATTTTGTTTGACATACAAAAAATATTTTCCAATCACATTTCCATTTGTATCTATTAATTCACTACAGCAAACTTACAAACTAGCTCCTGCTGTTTCCTGACCTTTGACCAAATGTGCTAATAGCTTCCCTATTAACAGTAACTAGATGCAGAATTTCAGATAGTACTAACTTTGTAACAAGGCTTGTATTTAATTTATTTTTTCCTTTTTTGTTTTTTTTTTTTAATTCATCAGGGACTGTTCTGATTCTGCAGAAGTTTGAATGAAAAAAAAAAATAGCACAGATGAATTGCTGCATTAATTTAAAAGAAAAAAGTCATGACGTCAATATGCAACCAAAAAATTATTCTTACAGGAATCTCTAAGTTACGAAAACATTTCTAAAATGTGAACATCAAGCCCCCAGTACTACTGTTCACTGCAGTTTTTGCAGGGGTGATTGGATTTGATCTGTTTGCTCCATGTGGTGCTTAAAGCTCAAATCTTCTCAGCAGTGGTTGGACTTTGCGTTCAAGTTCTGACAATTTGCAGAGGTGCCAGCCTAAAAGTTTAAACAACATGGGCATGTTTTTGCATGCATCAGTGCAGAAGTATTGAATTCAGCAGAGTTTCTCTCATTTAACTAGAAGGGAATTTAGTGTGTTTTTTTTTTTTTTTTTCTAGTTTTAGTGACTTTACTGAGTGGAAAAGGAAAATAACATCATGACACTAGTGGTTACCTTTCTCATTACGAAATATGATTCTTTTTTTTCAGTGATGTTTAAATAGATTTATTCATTCACATTTTACTTATGCAGACACAGGTCCACTGCCTCACTGGAATCCAGGAAGGGTAAAGTAGGGCTTTGAAGCACGTAGCTGCTCCTACCCTAATTCCACAAAGGAAGCCAACTCGAGCTTGAAGTGCAAGGAAAGTGAGAGGGACTCAGCAGAAACTGTGCCTGTAATGTGAAGTTTAGCTTGTAGCTCTGAGAGGTGTGTGGATGCCACGGTGCCCTGTGCCTTGATAGAGAGCAGCCTTATGCAGGACTTGCTGTGCCATACGCTCCTACAGCTCTATAGGCAGGGCAGTGGCATGTCCTGGAAGATGAGAGACAACGTCTTGCTTAGCGTGTGGTAGGAGGGAATAAAAGAGCTGTTTGCTGATTTTGAATAGCCTTATGCTAAGTCAGTGAAAAAAAGAAAGAGATAGAAAGAAAAAAAGAGAAAGAAAGAAAGAAAAAGCTTTCTGTCATGTTGAAAAGGCACTTGGGCAGTGCACTGATGTTTGTCTTTGCACCTAGCTTTAAGACAGCTCAGACAAAGGAAGAAAGGAAATGCAGCCTGTGTGTGGTTTTATAGTGGTCAAAGAGAGATCTGCATACCACTGCAAATAAACTTTTGCTTGGGATGAGAACTGAGGGAAGGAAGCAAACAAACAGAGAAAGCAAATCTCAAGCAGGCAGCCAAAAGAAAGCAAACCACTTCCATGTAAACACTCATGGAAACTGTGGCTAGTATGTCATACCAAGCTCTGACTAAGAGGCAGCATCTGAGACCTTCAGCAGGTTGATTCTGTTCACAACATCTTACTCCTCTCTTTTTCAGCCACAATGAGGGAAATATTTGGAGGTGGGAGTGCTTGTACCACAGCAAAGTGGAACTGCTCCAAAGGGGAATTGAGAAGTAGTGAAGTGGGAATATGGAGGGACTTAGCTAGCTTTGGTTAGACTGACCAGATGTTTGGTTTTTAAGGGGCAGAGGGGAAAGAACCTTCATACATTGTTGTAAGGGAGAGGAAGAGATGCTGCTGTATTGAGCAGTGGAGGAGCTTGAGTGGAGATTCCTGTGTTCTGACAAGAAATAATGATGGAAGGAGGGAAAAAATGGCTAATACTACTGCATATTGGGTGAACATTTTCTGTCTTGCTGGCAAGACATCTGAAGCTTTTTATCAGGATAGGAGTGCTTACTGTGACAGTGGTCTAGCTATTTGTAAAGCAATTGTATTACCTACTGCCTGAGAAACATGGCATAATCGTTCAGCTCCTCTTCTTTTCTGTTTACTCATCACATTTTCTCCTGATGTCTCTTTCCAGAGTGCTTGATTGCTCTGCCCATACCTCAGCTGATGACATCAATGGCTCTGCAGACATATCCTGTCTCTTCTTTCATCTCCTTGGTGCTAGCCTGGTCACTTCTACAAAGTACAAACTTCTTAAGACTGCTTTACAGAGAAGGCAGGAAACAAGAGAGTAATAACACTGGAAATGGCCTATTGTTTCTTCTCTGGCAAACTCCCTCAGGACAGCAGTTCTGGGAATCAGCTCTCTATGTGAAGTTGTGGTGAGATGTATTGGTGGCATATGCCATGGTGAATTTGCCAGGCACAGAGGGAGTCCGTTGGGGAAAAGAGCAGAGAAGCACACTAAGCTGTCTCCAGAAGCAAACCTTCAGAAATGCTCTGCAAAGGTGCCTGAAACTTAAAATTTTTCCTTTGGTAAAGATGAAAGGCAGGACTTCTGACCCTTACTTCTGACTAGGATGGAAACTTGGGCTTCTCTACTTCATAGAAGTACATTTTATGATAGACAAGAGAAAATGAAGATCCTTGAGGGAAGGCTAAGAAAATTCCTCTTCCTTCCAAAACTGCCTTGCAGGATCAGTGGAAAATTTCTGTTCAGAACAAGATCCTTGGCAAGGATACACCACCGCCAGGTGAGAAGCAGATGCCCTCAAGGTCAGGCAAAGCATTTCGACATTCTTCTTCCTGTTTGCTCCAGGTATACCTCAACAAATAAAACTGAGAACCTTCTTGCCTGTCATCCTGAACTGCACATGCTGGTGATTTCCAAGCAAGAAGATGCATACATAACAGGTAGGAGAGGCTGAGAAACTCTTTGCCAAGCTTTTTCTGTTTCCAATTACTTGATTCAGTCCCTGAGTGCTCTCAAATTACTATAGAGGAAGAACATATCTGGGAGTAGCTCATAGCAATTGTCCTGTTGGTGACACACTGGTCCCTGATGGTGTCCTTCCTGAACACACAGGGAGTGAGCTGCATGTAGGGCTTACTGGAGAGGGCTAAGAGAACAGACTGGGCTTTGCTGTGCGGTAATGCATAGCCATCAATCTCTTGCTCCAATGGAGGACAGGCAGAGGAGCTGCACCTTAGGGAAAAAGCACAGGGCTAGCATATGATGGCCTTTAAAGAGCAATTGAATTGATGACCTCTATAGTATATCAACAAAAAGACCTCAGATATTCTGCTGTATTTCTGTCCTCAGCACTGGGAATGCCAGCGTTCATGGCAGAAAGTTAAATACATCCCAAGAAAGCAGCCTGAGATTTGGGAATAGGAAGGTGAAGGAGAAAGATGCGTGACTGTACATGCAGTTTTGCTATTATTTTTGACACCATCATTTAACAGTGAAGGAGGAACCCAAGTTTTTGCAGTTGTGGCCTATATAGAGCCATTGTCATGTCATTTAACATGTGAAAGTTTTATCTGCTGCTTTAAGTGCTGTGGCTGCAGCTGTTTGAACAGTCTATCTTTCTGAAAGTCAGTAAAATCTCTTCATTTGCAGTTTTATTTATTGGAAATTAAAAATATGGGAAAACGGATTGAAATTAGCTCAGTAAAAGCCACACCCAAATATATATTTCTTTTGATGTTTAGGTCCTATAATTATTTTGGGCCAACATCCCATTAGACATCAGACTTGTATGTATTGTCTTTCTTCTTCCTTTCTCCTTCTATATTAGGCAAAAGGAAGTTCTGTTCCTGTGCTCATTTACCATGACGCAACACATCACAGCCTTTGGTTTTGGCTTTTTCCTGCACATTTCAAAACCTGAGATGTCTTCAGTTCTGTATTTTTATTCTTCTCATGCACAGATGGAACTGAATTTTCTGCAGCCGTTACATAACACAACTATTAGGTGCTACCAGCTGTCTTGGAGATCTGGTCTGAGTCCTTTGGCAAGTAGACATCTTCCTGTTAGGATTCTACTGTAACTTACATTGGTAAAAATTAAAAATTATGCTGTAGAAGTGAATGAGTTAGGCCAGCCATCTAAACATGGGGAAAATTTGATCTAAAAAATTTCCAAGGGACAATTCCTTGTAATAAGTTTAAGTATTATTTAGTGCCTGTTGTAAACAAGGAAGCACTTTGACTATGTCTAGATGTGTACAATTAGCTGTGGTTAGCTACATTAATTACTTACAGCAGATGTTTGGGAAATATTCTATCCTGGCATTGGTCAGGCTAACGCAGAAAAATAGCAATCAAGCACTACAGACGCCTTAAGATCTGTTTTATCTCTTCTTACTTTCATTTGCAGTTTTTTTTTTGTTTGTTTTTTTGTTTTTTGTTTTTTGTTTTTTGTTTTACTGTAAATATTTTGTCTACTCTTCTTCTCATACAGACTCCACATTCCCATGGATCAGATACCGTTATGCTGCCTCTTGCAATATTTGCAGTCTGCTGCCACATCTCAGAGCTGCCAGGATCTGACCTGGACCTGCTGCTCTCTCCAGATTATCTGCTTGTCTCTAACTCCACCAGGCATGGTAACCACCCCACTTTGCTTCTAGACACTCCACATAAAGCCTCTATAGGGCACAGCAAAGCATTATTGGCATGGTGCATGTAGTTCTAGGATATTGAAAAAATCCACCTTATGACAGAGTAAGCCTGAAGGTACCTGCATTTAGTTCAGTCACAGGGTGCTCTTGGTTGGTACTCATCCAGTGCACTTACGAACAAGGCCTCAAGATCCTAAATCTGTGACTTAGCTGAAAGCACCCTAATGCTGGGATACTAAGGCTTTTGACATAGTCTCCTATAACATCCTTCTCTCCAAATTGGAAAGATGTGGGTTTGATGGTTGGAATGCTCAATGGACAAGGAACTGGTTGTGAGATCATACCCAGAGAGTGGTGGTCAGTGGTTCAATATTGGGATGGGGATCAGTGGCAAGTAGTGTCCCCCAGACGTCAATACTGGGACTGATGCTCTTTAACATCTTCATTAATTACATTAATAGTGGAATTGAGTGCACCTTCAGCAAGTTTGCAGATGATACCAAGCTGTGTGGTGCAGGCGACATGCCTGAGATGCCATTCAGAGAGACCTAGACAGGCTGAGCAGTAGGCTTGATAAGGTTCAACAAATCCAAGTGCAGGTTCTTGCACCTGGATTATGGCAACTCCCACTGTCAGTACAAGCTGGAGGATGAAAGGATTTATCACAGCCCTGCTGAAAGGACTTGGTAAGCTGGACGTGAGCCAGCAATGTGCCCTCACAGCCCAGAAAGCTAACTGTATCCTTGGCTGCATCAAAGGAAGCACGGTCAGCAGGGTGAGGGAGGTGATCCTGCCCATCTGCTCTGAACTGGTGAGACCTCACCTAGATTACTGCATCCAGATGTGGAATCCTCAGTACAGGAGAGACATGAATCTGCTAGAGCATATCCAGAGGATGTCCACAAATGTGATCCGTGAGACAGAACATCTCCCCTGTGTGGACAGGCTGAGAGAGCTGGGGCTGTTCAGCCTGGAGAATAGATGGCTCCAGGGGGACCTGAGAGCAGTCTTTCAGTATTTAAAGGGTGAGCTGGAAGAAGGAAAGGAACAGACTCTTTAGAAGGTCTATTTTGATAGGGAGGGGAAAATGGTTTCAAATTGAAAGAAGGGAAATTGAAATTGGATATAAGCAAGGTTTTTACAATATGGCAGGAGACTTTCACAGAGGATGTCAAATTGTGATTGTCTGGCTCTGATATTAAGGCAAAGTTTAAAAGGGAAAAAAAGGAATTCCACAGCTGAGTCTGGAGTGCTGGACTGAATGTGGTGCCTGCACAAGCTCCTCCTCTTTAGGTTCTGTTTAGGCAGCACATCTAATCAGCAAGTGATAACAGTGTGTGTTCCTGTGAAAATACAGACTTGGTTGGGACTCTGTTGGGACTCCCCTGTCCTGTATCTGCCTCCTTCCCAGCCTGGAATCTGGCCAGGTCCTTTCCAGCTCAGTCTTAGGTTCCTGCTTGCATCCCGTATCTAATCAGCTGACATTTCTAGCTAGATCCCTACTATGTATTTATAGTTCTTCCTAATTATTAGGACCGTCTTCCTACAGTCTCAAGCTAATCTGTCTTACATCTGCTCCATGACAATGTTACCTTGAACCCTTGGACAGAGATCTATTGTCTCTAAGTCATCAGCACTGCTAATCCCCCCGTGAGGCGGGCAAGTGGAAAAAGAAAAACATATCATGAAGTTAGAAAGTGAATTTTGACAAGTGTTTGTGTTCTGGACATCTGTACTACTGTGGCCACATAAAGCAATAGCGTGTAAATGTCAAAATATAGATATATTAGTGTCTGCAGTTGCAATGCATTTGCAGTAATGCTCTGCATATTTTAACATGGATGTTTAAATGCCACTGTAAACACAGAGCTTTGACAGGTTAGTAGATTTGTGGAGGAGTAGCTGAGATTGTCAAATGCTACTGATATCTAAACCACAACACACCTATAAGTCCCCACAGAATGACATTTTAGATATTAGTGGAGTCCAGTGGTGGATTGCTTTGCTGAATCAGGATTTATTTTGGCTTATGACAAATACCGTAACTGATGGGCCATTACCTGGAAGTGTGTTAGCTATGTGACTGCTTTCAACTTTCTAGAACTGTGTTCTTCCTTACATTTCCCTACATTTTCTTCCCAACATCTCCAATCATTTAGATCCAAAAGTCAGATCAGATCCCTGTCTGGGCTTGTGCTCCAAAGACAGTTTGGAATCTGAAGTTATGCTGGTAACAAACTGGCTCACCAGAATCATCTGACAACTGATGCTAGCCTCCCCTCAGGGCAGAGACAGATCACAAAATAATTACATCTGTAGGGCCTTAATTATGTAATCTATAGTCTGTGCCTAACTAGGGACATGAGTCACACCAGAATTGGGTGACATGCAGGATAAATGGGTATTTGGGAACGTTATTCCTGTTTCCCAGTAGTCTTTGTTCATCTAGATTATTGCAGAGAGAAAAGTCAATGCTCTCATTTAGGAAGCATACTGGATTTTCTCCTGGCATTGTTATAAATGTTTATGCTGTCCTACTGTTATTTCTATAAGCATAAAACTTGTACTGTGTTATCACTTCACCTTAGCTGCTTACTTAGATCTGACTGGGCCTTGCTTTTCCATTGCAGATATATTAGCTAAACAACTTGCCATTGTAGACCTGAGACATAACTGTAATTCACCTTAGAATCACAGAATCATTAAGGTTGGAAAAGACCCATAAGACCGTGTAGTCCAACTGTCAACCCATCACCACTAGGACCACTGATTGTATCCATCAGAGCCATATCTGTTTCTTGAACACTGCCAGGGACAATGACTCCACCACCTCCCTGGGCAGCTTGTGCCAGTGCATCAGCACTCCTTCTGAGAGGAAAGTTTTCCTAATATCCAACCTGAACCTCCTCTGCTGCAACTTAAAGCCATTACCTTTTCTCTTTTCACTGTTACCTGGATAAAAAGGCTGACCTTCACCTCAATACCTTCTTAATGCTTCTGCTTCATGAAGGAAGAATAGCAGGGAGCACTGGAAGTCTTCAGTAACAGCTTGTGGCTGTTGCCAACAGAGCAATGACATACTGCATGATGTTCTGGCTGCACACGGGGCTGGCAGCTGATGCAAGGCACGTGTGGAGTTAGGCTTTAGGAACATAGCACCTTTTTTGACTGCAGTGTTCCAGCAAGGTAGGAGGAGCTGATTAATGATTCAGAAATTCATTAATTTGGTTCACAAAGAGCTGCAGTCACAAGAAGCATAAGACTGACGTTGAAATGAAATGTTATAGACTAATTCTAGGAAATAACTTATTTTAGAGAAGTCATACCTACATCAATTTTTCTGGTGATAGTCTTCCTGCATCTTCTAAGTAAATACTGAGAAAATGGATGAAGTAGCAAAGTTGTCATGGCGGGGGGTCAAAGGACTCTGGTTAGTGCAGTGTGTTAATAATATCTTATTCTCGTAATATATAACAGAACTCCAGTGACCTAATGATTCAGTAAAAGTTGAGAAACACACTTCAGCTCCAACTGAATATTTGTGGCATTACTACAAGAAGAATGAGGCAGGAAAGAGTACTCTTCAGCTGAACCATAGCATGACAGCAGAATAAAGAAAACAGATGCATAGATCACTTATCTAAACTAGGGGAATACAAAGTTTACCATGATGAATGCGAAATTTCTCCTGGAAATTCAAATCCGATGCACTGTAATTCCCAACAATTTCATACAGAGACCAATTCTGTGGGGATTCTCATGCACCAGTATTTAGAGAATATGTAAAAATGTGCTGGAATAGGCTAAGACCTTGTTATGACAGTAGATTTTGCCATTTATAAAATATTTATGAAAGGTGCCTTGTGAGGGACTAAGGAAATTTATTTCAACCAATTTATTATTGTTCTGGCATCCATTTTTGGAACTTAAGCAGAATTTATGCTGTTAGTACTTCCTTTGTTGAGATGGTAATAATACCTCTGCAGAAATGTAGCTATATTTAAAATGACGGACTGACTCGAGTGTTTAAAATGCTGAAGAGAGCAAGGACAGACATAAATAATATACCAGCATTTTTGCAAATTACAGTATGGAGTTAAAATATAGTATTGCAATAACACTTGATTGTTTGCAAAAGTAGACAATTTATATAGCCATGCTGTATCTTTTTCCTAAATTACTTGCAAAAATGCTGTGAACATAAGATTTACTTGTTCAATTGGCCTTACTTGTTTTCACAGAATAAGGCAATCACAGAATGGTTGAGGTGGGAAGGGATGTTTGGAGATCATCTCATACAGCCTCGCTGTTCTAGCAAAATTCTCTTCAGCACATTGCCTGGACACAGTCCTAGGTAGGTGTTGAATATCTCCAGGACAGGAGACTCCAGCTTCTCTGAGCAACTCATTCCAGTCTCCCTCACAAAAAAGAAGTTTTTCCTCATGTTCAGTCAAAGCTGCTTGTGTTTCTGTTTCAGTTTGTGCTTATTGCCTTTCCTAACTTAATGATTGACGTAAGTAGTCTTCTCTATGTAAAAGGCTATTGTAAAAAAGGAAAAGGAACAATCTCTTCCCCATATCATAGTAGATACAACAAGGTGTAGACAACTGCAGCTGCACCAAGGATTCTCCAACATTAAGACAGACTTCTTAACAGTGGAGATTTTGAAGCATCAGTGTGAATTTCCTGGAGAGATTTGAAATCTCCATCTCTGGAGATAAAGCAAAAACATCTTAGTTAATCTTGCTTTGAGGCATGGGATTGGAATAAGTGGCCTTTCTAAGTCTTTTGATTCTGAGAAAGTAACAAGCAGCTTTTAAGGCAGTGTTCTCTGTGTTTATTTTAATGAGGCTGGAATTTCCAACTAAATAGGAACTCGCATTAGAGTTCACTGTTCAACAGGAATAATTCTTGGATTTCACCTTAGCTGGAAGACTTAATTTCCTGCTTGATATCATAGATAATATTGTATTGTCAAAGAAGAA